AAGGTATACCCAAAAACTGGTCAACACTTGTGTTCAACACATCTATAGTGAGACCTCTCACTACACCTGATGTCGTGTTCACATCAATACTATCTATTGAATCATAACTGGATAATAAAATTACAGCAATTAAAATAATAGCCATTACTTCCTATTTGATGTAATTAGTTTACTATAATATTGTGTTTAAATCAAATTAACGGTATATGTTATGAAAGATACAGATATTATTTGAACACATTTCTTTTCATCAACATTAATTGCTCAATAGCAATTTATATCACTGCTAACATCTAATTGATAATTAATTGTTTTTTAAGGTTTTAGGTAATTTATATTTTTATTTAAACATGTTCAATCAATATTAATAACAGATAAATGATAATACATTTGAAGGAAAGATATTTTTATTAAAAATACTGGAGTAGTCTTTCCAAAAGCCATCACAAGTGGTGTGATAATTAATTTAAAACTTGAAATATTTTTAATTGTAACAATTCAATTTAACATTGAATATACAGAGAATATAATAACCATGCAAAATAATTTGAATTCTGAAGTGATCATGGTAGAAATTCCTTTAGAATTATCATTAAAATAATAATGTTTCCAAAAACCATCACAAGTATTGCGGAAAGGATTATCCAATACTTTATTCAAATCCCATGGATTTAAATCCAGCACTTTTATCTCATTTTTAGCACTTAATAGTTGAGGCCATTGTTTATAAGGTTTACTACAAATTGAGAAACATTTATAAGTTTTATAAAAAGAGTAATAACTTAATTTATAATATTTTATAATTTAAATTTACAAAGAATCATATTTAGCTATATAAAACTAATTGAACACTAATTCACCCATATTTAGCAAAGTTAGTCCACATTTTCATGACATGTAAACTGAAGTTGACATCTACCGGTGTGGCTATATCAGGAAGTAGGAACGGTATGCCAAACACAAAGGGCACATCCATTCCGTGAATAATCCCTTTGCCCTCCAAACGTCCTAATTGTGCTATTTCTGGCATTTGATACGTGAGTTCATAGAAGTATACGTTATGTCTGCCTCCCATTTGTTTAGCCATTTGTTTGGCGAACAGATAAGTCGGACAATTCATACAGAGATCAGCGAACAGGTCATAGAAAGCCCATCGAAGGGCTGTTGAATTACTTCGGTTGACACCCCGGAGGTAAAAGTTGGTCACACTATCCACATCAACTGGGTAATTTCTGGCGTTTAAATTAGCTAACAATTCATTGTACGTTTGGACAGTCATATTCTTGGGTCGACCCATATATGCCTCTGAGAGGGTCGACCCTTCATTCTGTGTAATGCCTGCTATTAAATCGATGTCTAATACATAAAAATAATTACAATTTATACAAAATGTTAATTAATCTATAAATTGAAACCTGTATTAAAATTATTATTTTCAAATGCGTTTTGTGCGGAAACGGGAAGGTATTGCGTGCCAAACACGGCATACGTGGGCTTTTTATAAAGTGCTGCAAATTCCGAGGGGTCGACACCTCTCAGACATTTGAGCCAATCTTCCCCTTCCGTACAATTCAGTTGTTTTGATAACTCTTTGGCCATATTTAGTGCTTCAGTTTTATTGACGGGATCCCTGTCCTTATTACCCAAAATGGATCCGCTTTGCATTATAGCCCGTCTAAACAAACCTCTTGTTAAGGGCGATAATACATGTGCCGATACGGACCAACTACCGGCGCTCTCACCAAATATAGTGATCCGATCCCTATCCCCACCAAATTGATGTATATTTTCTCTAACCTATATTTATTTTATTGTATATAACAATAATTTTAATATTAAATAAATAATAATAATTTTTATACCCATTTCAGAGCTAATAACTGGTCATAAAAGCCCACATTTCCGGGCGCGTCCTCCCGATCCCCGTATATGAAACCAAACCATCCGAGTCTGTAGTTCACGGCCACAACCACCACATCATTTGTGGCCAAAACACTGCCGTTATATAATTCAACAGACCCTCCGTTCAAACCCCCTCCATGTATCCAAAACATGATTGGTTTTAGTGTTTTCGATGAGTTATTGTTTTGCACATTAGGTGTCCATATGTTTAGTACCAAACAGTCTTCACTTAAGTTTGATTTTCTCAAAAAATCCCAATTTTTTTACACCTTTTGCCAACAAGTATTTCCTTGTTTTCTCGCATCAATAATATCCTAAAATAGTAAGAATTTTATTGTTTGTTATTTTTTTTAACAAATCTTACATTTTTAGCATTTGTTATGGGCACTGGGTTAGCAAACCTAAGCGCACCGACCGGTGGTTCGGCATAAGGTATAAAAAAATTGGGATTTTTTGAGAAAATCAAACTTAAGTGAAGACTGTTTGGTACTAAACATATGGACACCTAATGTGCAAAA